AAAAAAAAAAAAAAAAAAAATAGCAATGTTAGCTGGGGGCAGTGTCAATTAAAAGTTTTTAAATGAGCACGCCATAATGACCAAGCAACTCTATTTCTAGGAAGGGACCCTACAAAAATATATACATTTGCACAAAGAGGCACATGAAAGGATATTACTGTAACAAGATTCATAATATTAATGGCAAAATAATTGGAGAGCAGAGAGTAGGGTTAGATTATGGGAGTCCCCACAATGAAATTTTATATGCAGCTCTTCACAATCACATAGTGATAGGAAAATGTTATCTAAATTTAGATGAAAGGGACAAATTCCTAGATGAAGACGGCTTAGCAAAACTGACACAAGAAAAAATAGAAAAGCTAAATAGTACTGTAACTAGCAAAAAAATTCGATCCTTGATTTAAGCCTTCCCCATAAAGAAATCTCCAGGGACAGGTGATTTCACACACACACAGAGTGATAAACACTGCATACATATACTCCAATGTATGTAAATACAGTTTCGCATATATATTATATATAGTATATGTACAAATACTATATGTATATTCATACATAGTTATATATTTAGTTATCGAGATTCGTATATGTATGCAAACACATAAAGAAAAACATGGAAGGGTGCACATCAAACTGTTGATTATGATGACTTCTGAGAGAGGGTATTTAGGGACTGTCCTTTTCCTATACTGTTTCTATTTCTATTTCTATTCTATGATCAAACTTAACCCAATCAAAGGTCAGGTTCATTGAAGTAAAATAGCCAATGGTAGGAAGATGACGTTGAGACTCATGCTGGGACTTGCCATCTGGTTCCAGTCCCTGCCGTATCCAACACAAACAAGTTACTCCATAAATGTCAGGCCACAGGAAAAGGAGCATTTCTCCCATTTCACCATCGAAGGAGAGGCCACCACGTATGTAACATTGTGCATTTATTTACAAAGAGGTTAAAGAAACACACAGAATCTGGCCCCCTTTGCACCAGGGAGTCACCATCGTCATAATAAATACAGTAATTTTAAAAAAGAAAAAAAAATACTAGATTGGAACAGCTGAGGGTCATTGAGCTTCCCTCATTTTGTCACAGTGAGGGCACCAGATAGAAACCATCTTCCTACCCCTCTTCTACCTCCCAATCCTCCATAATTGTCCGGGGATAGAGGTGAAAGAGTCCTTCTTTCCAGGTATTACCAACTCCTACTTGACCCTCAAAACCCCCAAATCCGTGCTCCTTCCCTTCCCAAGGCACTCTGCAGGAACCACCTAAGTCAGAGTCTCTGACCAGGGTGCCAAGGGGATATCTTAAGGGCCAGGGACGTGGAGGGGGCACTTTGTGAATGAGGGGGGCCATATCTGGACAAGGACAGGAGCAACGAGAGGGCTCAGTGAGAGGAGTGAAGGGGGGCAGACTAAGCTTCTAAACTAAAATGGGGCGATTCAGAGCGAATTACCCCTGTTGCATACACGGACACTTATTGAAAGATGAGATAAGTGAGCCCCAGAGAAGGGGAACTTTCTTGCCCAAGTGCCTGGAAGCCAGAAGCTGAACTGGGTCAAACAGGGCTCCTGTCCATCCCTCCCTGTGGCGGAGGGGGAGCCTTTTCAACCAAGACTGCTACGAATGGGGACAGTGAGGAAGGTCTTTGGAAGCAGAGAAAACGATGGTCTTTGGAAGGTAGGTGTGGATGGGTCAGTGATTGAAGTGTGGAGGTGCAGAGGCCATGAAGGGGGAGCCCAAGCAAACCCCCGAATTCACACTGTGGTCATGACCTTGAGAGAACCCGAACGGAAACGCAGTATCTTTTTCTTGAGGGCGTGGGAAGCCTTGATCTTCACAAAGACCTTGGCGGGGCCCGCGGGCGCCCCTCCGCCTGCACCACCCCCTGGCCCAGAGGCCGCGGTGGCCGCCACTAGCTGCTGCGGCCACACGAGGCCACCACTGCCATCTGAGTCGCTGGATGCAGAGCTGAAGGCCGGTGACTCGCCCTCGCTGGCGCTGGATTCACTCTCTCCGTACCCGCCGCCGACGCCGCCTGTTGGCCCCCGGCGTCCGAGGGGCCCCAGGCGCCCGGCCGAGCACTCCGAGTCGCTGCCGGCGCAGCCGTAGAGCAGACGGCGCTGGGGAGCTGACGGGGACGGGCCAGGCCCCGGGCCTCGGGCCGCTGGGGCGCGCGGGCGACCGCGGCGCCCATCGGCAGCGTCGATCTCGGCCGTGGAGCGCCACCGGCGGCAGGACCCCGCGGCCTGAGCCGCGAGCGTGGGCGCGGGACCCCGGCGGGGCCGTGGCGGCCGCGGCTCTTCCCGTTCGGCCGTGGGGTACTTCGGGGGGCCGGGAGGAGCCGCGGCAGCGCGGCCCAGCAGGCTGGTCTCCGACTGGGAGCGCGCGGCCTTGCGAGCCCGGGGCGAGCCCCGGCGGCCCGAGGCCTCGGTCACGCGTCCGCGGCGGCCGGCGGCGCGGGGACGCTCCCGGGGTGGCGACTGCTCCACGCTGCGGCCACGGGTCAGCGGCGGCGGTTTGCGGCGCGCCGCGCGGCCGGGGAGCCCGCGGGTGGCGGCCTGCGCGCCTGGGATGTACTGCGCCTTCACCAGGCGGCCCTCGGCCGGGCTGTCGGGCGGCGAGGGGGCCGCGGGCGGCGCGGCGGGCTCGGGCGCCGCCTCCGACTCCCACGGCGAGGCCCAGGCGCGGCTCAGGGCGGCGGGGCTGGCGGGAAGGCCCCCGACGCGCTCCACCGACGGCTCGGGCGCGGGCCGCGCGCCTCCGGGGGGCGGGGACGCGTCGGGCGGCCGCTGGCGCACGCTGTTCTGGCGCCGCGGGCCGCCGTCCGCGCCCCCGGGGCTGGTCCGGGGCTGGCCCGCCCCCCGGTGGCGGCGCCTGCGCAGGAGCGCCGAGATGTAGCCGTCCAGGGGCCGCCCCGCGCCCCCCGCGTCGGGCGAGTCGGTCGCGGGGCGGCCGCAGGGCCGCGGGCTGCGCAGCGCCACCGCGTGCAGCGGGCTGGGCGTCAGGAAGGGCCCGGCGCGGGCCCGCCGCTCCGCTGAGGAGCAGGCCTCGGGCCCCGCAGACCCCGCTGCCGTCGGGTAGGGCGCCGAGAAGGACCGCGGCACCGGGGCCCGAGCGCCCACCATCTCCGGAGCGCTGGGACTGGCGTCTCCTAGGTAAGGGAGGCAAAAAAAAAAAAAAAAAAGGCGGGGTGGGGGGAGAGGGAAGGACTCCCAAAGTCCTATCGCCTCCAGCCCGGAAGGGGCAGGTTGCCCCCTCCCTCCCCACCGCTGCCTATCAAAAACCCTGTTTTCCTCCCTTCCCTCACGTAAGGTTCATAACAAAATCTGCACAGGGGCCTGCGAGACCTGCATGACTTGTCCCGCCTCTTTCTCTCCCAACTCTCATCTCTCACCCCTGTCCTCCATATCCGCAGGTCTCGCCACAGTGGCCTCCTGGAAGCACAGGCCAGTCCACACTCTGGCCTCGGGACCTTTGTGCTTGCCACTCCCACTTCCTGGAAACCCTCTTCCCCAGGGACGTGCGCTAGGCCCACTCCTTCGCATCAGGACACCACTCAAATGTCACAGTCTCAGTGAGGCCCTCCCCAAACTCAAAGGAACGCTCCCTAGTACCTTTCCCTTGTCAGAGCACATGTCAATATCCAGTTCCCTAGACATTTTACTTATTTATCTTGTACATTATCTGTTCCTCCAACTAGAATGTCAATCGGATGAGGGCAGGCATTTGTCTGTTTTGTTCATTGCTGTATCCCTCATTCCTAGGAGGGTCCTAGGATAGCACATAGGAGGGGCCCCAAAACTTACTTGTGTAAGTGAATAACTGCAGTTCCTGGTTACTGAGTGACTACCATGTGCCAAGTCCAATGCCTTAGGGCAGAGACTCACTGAATACTCAAAACATCCCTAAGAAGCGGGCACTGTTATCATCCCACTTTAACAGATAGAGAAACAGAGGCCCGGAAAGAAGAGACAATGCTCAAAATCCCAGGAAAAGGGGTTGCCACAGCCGGAATTGGAATCCAGGTCTGACTCAGGAGTTTATGCTGAAAACCATCCTCTCACCGTCCTTCCCTGGCCGTGGGGCCCCACCCCCACCCACCTTACCTAGGGACTTGGGCCTCTCGCTGGCATAGATGCCCCGGGGCTCAGAGGGACCCAGGCGTCCATAGGAGCCAGATCCGGAGAAGCCACTGTCCCCACAGAAGGTCGAGGGTGGTGAATCTGGACCTCCTGTGGAGCTGGGGTCTTCATAGAAGCCTGGATTCCCGAGAGAAGCAGAGAGACAATCAGGGGGTTTGGGTGGGAAAACCAGGGGTGGGGAAAGGAGGAGGTGGGGCAGGGAGAGACGGGGGGAGCCTGAGAGAGAGGGACAGTGTGAAAGGGCGAGATGTCCCAGGCAGACCCTACCCCTCCACCCATGCTCACCCGAGCTGCGCCCGCTCTCCTGTTCCAGGCCCCCAGACTCCAGGCTCAGGTCTCCCAGCTGCTGGCCCAGGTCCCAGATGAGCCCAGGCAGGGCCTCCTAAGGGCATGGGGAAGAGCAGCATGGTCAGAGGCCCCCAGTCTCCTGCGGACTGGTCCTCTAGTCCACGAGCTCATGGGCAGAGTTTTGCTTTGACAATGAGGCTCTGACTTCAAAAGGAGAAAAGCAGTACCTGAGTCCCAGGACCCCCTCAAGATCTCTGTCTCTTCATCCCCATTAGAAAGTCCTTCTGGCTGTCTAACTGCGGTCCTGCATGCTCCAGTCTCACCTCCCTTACATGTGATGAGGTCTCAGAAGGCCTCACCTCTTGCCCCTTCCCCATCTGCTGTTCCCTCATTTGTGCTCACCTAAGCCCTACTAAAATGTCCCACTTTGAATCTAACTTCAGGTCTTCTTTCTGGAAGGACAATTCACTGCTAAAAGGTGGTGTCTGGGATCTAGCAGATCCCTGAGCCCTGGGTCAGTCCCTCCCAGTCTTTCTTCTTTTTCAGATGCCCCTATCTTCCCCCATTGCCCCTTATCACAACAGAAAGTCCTCCTGCAAGTGTTCCTTAAGTCCTCCCTGCTGCACACTGACTCTTTCCCTCTTAGGGCTAACACAGGCTGACCACAAGGCATATACCTCTTTGCTCCTCCCCTCGGAAAGCACCCCCACGCCTCCTGGAAAGTCCTTCTGTGAGTCTAGCCTTAGTGGTACTGCAGCAGTCATCCCCAGCATGTTCCTTTGCCCCAGGGGCCACATTCTCCTCCTGCTCTTGCTCCGTTCCCGCCAAAAAAGCCCCTGTGTCTGTCTACAGCTCCTCATCCCCATAAGAGATTTCTGAGTCTACCCTGGATCCTTCTTGCTGCAGGAAAAGATTGTTTCTTATCAGATGTGAATAAGTGAAGGTGAAAACCCTCTTAGGGGAGTGACCGTGACAGTGGGTGGGGTAGGGGCCGAAACAGCACACATGGGGTCTCCTAGACACTAGGACTTCACCCCATTTTGGAAAACTGAGGCCCAGAGCCAGGAAAAAGTCTCCAGTGGGTCTGAGTGGCTGAGGTGACGGTTGACCCTGAGACAAAAGCGGCTTGTCTGGCCGGCAGGGGAAGGGAAGGAGGGAGGAGGGGCTGGGAGGACAGGCACCCAGCCCTGCCTATTTAGGGCAGAAAGACTGGCTGGCTCCCCCTCCTGCAGCCACAATCCCCCCGCCCCCCAGCTTCTGACTCCTGCTGCTGTCCACTCCTCTTCCCCGAGACCAAAAGCCCCCGTCTGGCCATGTTTATGTGAGGAAGGTTAACAAATCACTCCAGTTTTGGGCTCCTGCCCTGGGTACTTAGACGGGCTCGTGGTGCACTCAGAACTCTACAAAGCAGCTGAGTTGCGCAGCATCCGGGAGTGGCTACAAAAATCACGGACCGCCCATATGCCCCGTGTCATGTCCCCCACGAATCTCTGGCTTGCTCGCTGAGCTCTAGCCACGCTGGCGTCGTCACTGTCCCTCAAATATGCCATGCATGGTCCTGCCTTAGGAGAATGTTTCCCTCTCACGTCCTACTGGCTCACTCCCTTGCTTAGTTCAGGTTTTTGGTTAGGTGATCTCTGACACCTTTCCAAAATAGTTCCCCTATCATTCTGCACCCCGTTGCCCTGCTTTTGGGGTTTTCTTTCTATATATCAGTAATAATCTCTTGATTTAAAATTATATATCAGGCTGAGGGGGGGGGCTCACCACCTGTAATCCTAGCACTCTGGGAGGCCGAGGCTGGAGGATTGCTTGAGGCCAGGAGTTCGAGACCAGCCTGAGCAAGAGCGAGACCCTGTTTCTAGTAAATATAGAAAAATTAGCCAGGCATTGTGGCTCACGCCTCTAGTCCCAGCTACTTGGGAGGCTGAGGCAGGAGGATCGCTTGAGCCTAGGAGTTTGAGGTCGCAGTGAGCTACGATGATGCCACTGCACTCTACCCAGGGTGACAGAGCAAGACTCTATCTCCATAAAAAAAAAAAAAGAGGAAACTGAGAATCAAACAAACTCTCTTAAAATAAATAAATAAATAAAATTATATATTGGTGCAACGTGTCATTTGTTTGTTGAATCTTTCACTACAGCGTCAGTCCTAGGAGGGCAGAGATTTCTGTCTCTTTTCTTCACAGCTATACCCCCCAGCAGTACCTAGGACAATGCCTGGCACAAAGTAGGTGCTCAGGAAATATTTGATGAAGGAATGAATGTACGCAATGGAACACTACACGGCTGTTAAAGTGGAATGAGGTAAATTTCTCTATAGAACCATCACCAAGGTATAGCACTGAGCGGAAAGAGAAAGAAGTGTGGAATGTATATGGCGTGAGCAAGAATGAATCTGAATTACCTGCAGGGCTTGGTAAAAACCATACTACTGAGTCCCACTTCCAGAGCTTTCGATTTCAGTCTGGAGTTGAGCCCAAGAATTTGCATGTCTGACAAGTTCCATGTGACATGTTGCTGCTGCTCCAGGGGCCACACTTTGAGAACCACTGGCATAGTCTCTGGGACTTCACCCAAGAAACCAGAATTCGTAAGAAGCACAGCTCTTACAAAAACTCTACATTTTTTTGGTATGTAAACTGTTTCTGGGAGTAGATACATTGGAAGAGGTCTGGAAGGACTCACACGAAGGTGACAATGATGGTGACCTCAGAGGAGAGGCTGGATTTAGGGGGTCAAGGGACGGATGGGAGGATTGGATGGTGGAGTGAAGTATTTACAAAGGCATAACTTGGGACCAAATTCCCAGGCATCAAATTCAGCTCTGCCACTTCCCAGCTGTGTGACTTTGGGTGGGTGATTTCACCTCTCTGGGCCTCAGTTTCCTCGTTTGTAACATGGGCATCATATGACTCCATCTCTTATGGGATTGTTGCGAGGAGTAAATGAGCTAAACCAGCAGTTCCTTTTAACACTTAATAAATGCTAGCTTGTATTATCACCTGAAAGCTATGCATTTCTTACGAGGCAAATAGAAAATCATGTTCTACTTGTGCAATTAAAAATAAATGTAAAAGGGATGGGCGAGGTGGCTCACGCCTGTAATCCCAGCACTCTGGGAGGGGGAGACAGGAGGATCACTTGAGGTCAGGAGTTCGAGACCAGCTTGGGCATATACCAAGACCCCGTCTCTACAAGAATGAAAAAATTAGGTGTGGTGGCACGTGCCTGTAGTCCCAGATATTCGGGAGGCTGAGGCAGCAGGATTGCTTGGGCCCAGGAATTTGAGGTTACAGTGAGCTATGATCACACCACTGCACACCAGCCTGGGTGACAGAGCCAGACCCTGTCTCTAAAGAAAAGTAATAAATAAATAAATATAAAAGGATGGATTTTTTTGGTAAGTTCTCCAGGTCTATCTAATTTCAGTTCTTCCACTGAGAAGAGCAGCAGGAGTGAGGGGGGGCAAACAGGAGAGGCCTCCTCCTCCTCCCCAGTGCCCGGTCCCTCCCCAAATATTCCTCCCGGTCCACACCCCTCTATATGTGAGTCTGACCTCATTCCTTCCAGCTGCAAAAGGATGAATCTTTAAAAGATCAGAAGGTCCTTGGCCTGAATCGGGCTCCCTGCCTCCCTGAAATGCCCCTCATCCTTTTTCTGAAAGCCGTTCCACAAGTGGGCCAGCCAGCTCAGGCAGGCTTAGCAAGAGTACAGTTAGGACCCGTGGAGACCCCTTTGCCCAAACTTCTCTGACCTTATTCTTTACCTCGCATGCCCCTACTAGGTGTCCAATGCCCTTTTACCTCTGTTAGGAAGTCCTTCTGCAAGTCTAACCTAAATCCTTCTTGCTGGAAGGAACCTTATTCCTTCTTGGGAGCAAAGAGGACCCGGGGAGCCCCTGTCCCCACCCAGGATTCTTGCCTCTCTTCTCTGTGACACCCCTAGTCTTTACCTGGTGGCTCCATCATTTCTATTAGAAAGTAATCAAGTCTAGCTTTAGTCTTTCTTGCTTCAAAGGGAGTGTATTTCTGAGTGGGGGGGTGGGAGTGGGGGTAAGTGTCATAAGGCCCCGGCTCAGGGATCAGAGGAGGCCCCCACCCCCTCTTCAAAAGGACCCAGGAACCCCCAACGCTAGAGGAGTTTATATTTAGCGCTTCTCCACTCCTCCCTCATTGCCGAGTGTGGCTGTCTCCCTCCCCCCGCCTGCCACCGCCTCCTCCCTGGTGCTGGGACGAGCTTTGCCTAGAGACTAGGGGGTGGGGGGAGGCCTCTCCACTACCACCTCGTGCGGGCAGGACCGAGGGCTGGCGGGAGGGGGCACAGAGGGGCAGAGAAGAGGGAGACCGAGGGGCAGAGATGGGGAAGGTGAAGGGCAGAGAGCGGGGAGACCAAGGGGCAGTGGGAAGGACACAGCCAGCCTGTCCTCGCGCCTTCTTCTCCTCGTCGGGAGGGGAGGCACCGTCAAAGCCCAGGCAGCTTGAGGTGGGGGGAGCCGGTGAGGGCCCCCACAATCCGTCTCTAACTTTGGGAGCGGGTGGGGCCTCCCACAGCTGTTTCTGTTTGCAGAGAAGAATGTGCGGGTCCCACTCCTGAGAGGGGGAGGGGCTGGGCGTGCAGCCCCGGAGTCTGGCTCCGGTCCTCTCCCCGCTCCCCATCTAGGGAGGGGCAGTCGAGGTCAGCAGCCGGGAGAGCCCCCTCCGCCGCAACCTCGGCTCAGGTTTCCCCAAACGGGAAGCTCTGACCACACACAGGCTTGGGGACGGGAACTGCAAGCGGAGCTGGGGTCTGCCGGCTGGGGGGAGGGGAAGAGAGACTGGAACGTGGGGGCAGGAATGCAAGAAAGGAAGACCAGGGAGACGGACCTAGAGGGACACAGACCGCGACAGAGAGACAGGATTAAGAAAGAGAAGCAGACACAGGAAGTCACCGAGATCTGGCAGTAGGGAGAGAGTGAGGGAAACCCAGGACTGGTTGGGAGACTCAAGGAATGATATAGAAAGGGGAAGAGGGACAGTGTCTCTTTGAGTCATCCCGGAGACCTCTGCTCATCTTCCACAATTAACAAGAACCCGCAGTCCGGAAGTCAGACCTCAGCGCTGCCTCAACCTGGCTCCTCTTGGGTTATGGAGAGCTGGGACCAGGTAGGAAAGAGGGGCAGTGTCACCGAAGGGTCAAGATCCCAGGGGGGTCTTAAGGGACTGTGAGCTTCCTCTCAGCGGTTGTCCCTCCCTCAAGAGGCCCTAAGATCCCCTTTTCCCACCCCGCCCCCTCCGGAGATCTCCAAGCACACCAGGACTTAGGGAAGATGGAGCCCTGCTAGCGGGGCCCAGAGAAGGGCATGTTTGGATCCTGGCTGTGTGACCTTGGGTGAGTCACTTGTTCTCTCTGAGCCTCGATTTCTTGCCCTGTAAAATGGGGACTATCACCCCCTACCTCCCAAGCTGCAAGAAGGCAACGCATGCAAAGTACCGGGACCCGGGCTTGACGCATACTTGGCGTCCTGAAGGATTTTCTCTGGAGAAGGGGTATAGGGGGTGGGGTCTATCCTTTTCACTGGGCTCAAGCAAAAGCGATGCTGTCCCCCTTCCCCCGATTTGGGGGCGGGGAGGCCAGGTCCCGCCTGCCGCCCGAACTCCGGGGTCTCCAGCCCCACCCTCCGTCCTTTCCCATTCCCAGCCTACCCGCCCCACCCCCCACGGGTGTCTGAGCATCCAACCGAGACAGACAGACAGACACAGGCGGGGGGTGGAGGGACGGACGGACAGGCAGCCCCTTACCAGCTGCTCCTCCAGGGCTGCTGCGGCCCGGCGCGCCGCCGCCGCATCTTCATCCTCGTCGGCGTCCTCCTCGTCCTCGGCCTCGGCGCCCCCCATTCCGGGCTGGGCCAGCCGCAGCGCCTGCTGCACGCGGTACTCCTGCCTCTCCCGGAGCCAGTGCAACTCGCAGAGCCCGGCCAGGCTACCCTCCAGCCAGCCCCGCAGCCGGCCCCGCTCGGGGCTCACCGGGAACGAGAAGGCCCGGATCATGGCTGCGGCCCCCCGCCCCAGCCCGGCCGGGCCCCACGGCCACCCCTCTCCGGGTCCCACCTCCCCGCCCCAGCAGCCAGCCTGCCTGCCCGCCCGCCCGCTGGCCGGGCTGTCACCGTCTCATCTGCATAGGCGCCCGCCCATTGGGCCGCCCACCCGCGCCTTATCTGCATGGCCACGCCCCCGGCGACAGAGCAACCGCCGCCTATTGGCGGGTATCCTCCCTTACGACGATGCTGGGCCAGACACTAGCGCCGCCCAACACGACGCATGCTCGCAGCTGCCTACTCGCTCTGCTCGCCGCGCTCCCCCCGACCCCCGTGCAAGTGCTTCTGGGCCCGGGCCACGCCCCCCACGCGTCACAATGAAACAAGTCCGCCCTTGCTTCAATGCCATTGGTCTGTGCCTCCCCGGTCCTGCAGCGGGTTCCGCCCTCTTGCGGGCGAGCTCTGGCTACCATTGGACTGTCCGACGGGAGGGAAGGGTGATCTATAAATACAGACGGGATCCACGTGACAGTTTAGCAGCTGCTCCTACTTCCCCCTACCCCGCCAACCTTTAGCTTCTGAGGCCGCGCAGAGGGAGAAAAGGGTTAGAGGGTCGAGCCCTGATTTAGCCTCCGCTTCAGGAAGCCTTCCCAGACGCCAAGCTGTGGATGAGACGGACATCCTCCGATAAATTATGCTCCCAAGCCGGGCCGGCTTCACGGTCTTGGGACCCGCTGAGAAAGGCCCTCGCGCTTGGTTTAATGTTCCTCTACTGCTGTCCTGACATTCTTATTTTTTGAGCAAGAGACACCGCATTTACATTTTGCAGTGGGCCGGTCAAACTGTATAGCTGGTATTGCTTGTAAGAGTTTAAGATCGGTTGTATCCCAAATTCTGGAACTCTAAAAGCCTGGGTGGAAGATTCTATGATTTGACCAGAACAGACCCGAAGCGGCTTTGTCTCCCCAGGTGCTGTGAGGCTGTGTTCTCATCATTCTTCGAGTCCAGGGGCCTTTGTTCTACGTTCTAAGAGGCTTTGTTCTCAGCCTTCTATGATGCTCTGTTCTCAACGTTCTGTGGTCCTGAGCCTGACGTTCGTTTCCAAGGCTTCCTCCTTTCTCGCCTTGCTCCGCCAACAGGGCTGGCGCACCCTCCGGCGGCCAGCCTGTGTCACTACGTGGAGAGTGCCTCCCTATAGCCTTCAAGAGCTAGCTCTCGTATTCATTCATACCCATTTCTCAGACAGACCTTGACTGTCTAAAAGCCAGGCCCCAGAAGATCCTGCGAGAACATCCCTCTTTAATGACTCCCTGTGCACTAAGTGACCTTCTGGTGGTGAGATGGAAAGGCAGTGGCAGTGGCAGAGAGCAAAGTCTCTGAAGCCAGACTTCTTACGGGGTGAGTAACAACTCTGCCACTTTCCAGCTGTGTGACCTTGGGAAACTGACTTAACCTCTCTGTGCCACGGTTTCTCCATCTGTATAATGGGGTCATAATACTGTCTACCTCATAGAGTTGTTCTGAGGATTAAAAGAAATTTGCCAAGTACTTGGAGCAGCGTCTTTCGTGGATAAAAAGCCACAGAGGGGTTTGATAAATAAGGAAAAAAGTAACCTAGTGAATCCCAAGGAGAAGAATGAGTTGGACTTTAGCAGAGACAAACCTTATTCAATCTTCCTCTTGTTCACAATAGGCCTAGACTGCCTTAATTTTCCAACAGCAGGGAGCGAATCAAGGATTGAGGATAGGGTCTGGAGAGCTTACAACAAGGCTTTCTAAGTAGTCAGTGCCTGGGCTGAAGTCAGGATTGGTTTTGCATCCCTGCTGTTTTGTACAAGACCAGTTGAGCCATTTGCTGCGTAGAATGTTGCATCTGGAGTTGATTTAGATTCTGGTCACCAGGCGTTTGAAGATGGATATTCCGAGGAAGATAAGTAAAAAGAATAAAGGAGTAAAACCAAGATTTGAGGCCACATGGGAGGATTTCAAGACGGAGAGGAAGAGACATCCTTGCTTGGTGGAGTCAGAAGAGCCATGGCAATTCTGAAGATTTCCTTTTTGGCTTCTTGATGTTCTTATTGATGATGACGATGATGTTGAAAGAGTTCCTGAGAATGGACATGCAACAGCTGCTTCCAAATATGGCACACGGTTTCCTCCCCTGGAAGCTGCATGCCCAATGTCAGCTGATTGTAAGGATCGCTTGTCGTGTCCCCAAGTTCCCTGGCCTATGTGAGGCTGTCGCTTAAATATGCGGATGTTGCTGCAGATTCCTTGAGTAGCGCAGAGAGCAGTGCCCTGGATACAAATGTTACCCAGACATGGCCTGAGGCCGTACTTAGCTCATCAGCGTTTACTCCCAGGCATGCTGCTTTGGATGCTAAGGAAAAAGGAAGAGCGCAGTCATCCTGGATCTTATATCTGTGCCATGGTTGTAGCCTACACAGGGTTTGACAGATGTCTTACATCTGTGAGGCGGTGGGGGATTGAAAGGAGAAAGAGTGGGCCCGGTGCGGTGGCTCATTCCTGTAATCCTAGCACTCTGGGAGGCCGAGGTGGGGATCCCTTGAGGTCAGGAGTTCGAGACCAGCCTGAACAAGAGCAAGACTCCATCTCTACTAAAAATAGAAAAAATTAGCCAGGAGCGGTGGTGTGCACCTGTAGTCCTAGCTACTCAGGAGGCTGAGGCAGGAGGATGGCTTGAGCCCAGGAGTTTGAGGCTGCTGTGAGAACGCCATGGCACTCCAGCCTGGGCGACAGAGCAAGACTCTGTCTCCAAAAAAAAATAAAAATAAAAGAAAGAACGGAGAAAGAGTGAAGTTTGGTATTGATAGAATGAAGGGGAATTGAAAATCTGGTAAGTGCCAATGTGCCTAGGAAGTTAACAGGAGCCAGTCCGGTTGGTAAGTAGGTGTCAGTATGCCAGATCTCCACAAATAAAGCATTCATCATTGTGGGCAATCCAAGACTCACAGGAAACATTGTCTAATTTTTCTGAGTGGTCAGAAAACAGATGTTGTACAAACATGGAAAACCAAGGAGAAGAAGATGCAGGAACAGGACTGTGACGATGAGAGGGGTCACAAGGGGAGCAACACCACTGATACCAAAAGAATTGGTCAGCGGCACTGGTTGGCCCAGGATTGGAAAGATTTTGGTAGCTGGAGAAACTAAGTGAGTTCAATGAGGAGGAGATTCTCACCATAAGGGTTTGCTGTAGTGTCATTTGCTGCATAAAAGTTATGATTACAGAGACTGAGTCCCTTCAAGGAGACTGTTATGAAGTTGCAGAAAAAGCACGTAAATCCTGATTTATTAATGATAGGGATGGGAAGAAGTTCCTGTGAAAAGAAAACGGTGAGTCGGGAGGGGTCTTGGAGGCGGGTGTGTGGGACAGCTACACACAAAGGCTTTGGTGATGGGAGTGGAGGGAAGTGACTTGTGTCAGGAAGGGGGAAAGAAACCAACGATCATGATTGCAATTGTAAGACTCAGTGAGCACTTCTGCAAAAGTAAGCGAGAGGTTTCGTTTGCAGGCTGGAAGGTAGACTAGGGAGGAGAGATGTGTCTTTTGGGAAGAAACAGAGGTTAAAGCAGGAGAATCGTAATATCAGGGGCATATAACCAAAGGTCGGTTACCAAAAATGTGACAGAAAAGCCTAAGTCCCATGATGAGAAGCATGCACACGACGGCCAGGGTGGATTTTAAAAGGGGAAATCGGGCTGGGCGCGCTGGTTCACACCTGTAATCCTAGCACTCTGGGAGGCCAAGGAGGGAGGATTAGTTGAGTTCGAGACCAGCCTGAGCAAGATTGAGACCCTAACTCTACCAAAAATGGAAAAAATTAGCCAGGTGTAGTGACGCGTGCCTGTAGTCCCAGCTACTCAGGAGGCTGAGGCAGAAGGATCACTTGAGCCCCACGAATTTGAGGTTGCAGTGATCTGTGATGATGCCACGGCACTCTAGCCAGGGGGATGAGTGAGACTCTGTCCCTAAATTAATTAATTAATTAATTAAAAGGAGAAATCCTGGCAGTTCTTATTCCAGAAGGAAGCTGACTACCTCGTGATGTCATCTGCTTGCCCCAAGGCCCCAGGGATAGCTGTCTACTTTTCGGCCTCATCGGCTTCTAGGGCCCTTGCTTGAAAGAGCCTTCGTTTGAGGTCTCCAGTGGGAGTGGATTCCATTCAGCACGGGTCTTGCGTCTCTCCAGTTGTGAGATGTGAACTCAAGGCAGGACGCCCTGCAGTTTGCAGCAGTGTCAGTGCAGACGGAGCAGTGTAGGGTCCATTCCATCTGGGTCCAAGGTTAGTCTTCCTGTAATGTCTTTTCCAGAGGACTAAATTCCCTATTTGGAGATCGCAAAGAGGCTGTAGCGGAATGTCTGGAAGGAAGGCCTCTTGCAGCTGCTGGTGACAAGCCTCAGTATACTTAGTCCTCGATAGGATCTGAGAACGTCCAATTGTAATAAGAGTAGAATCCTCAAGGGCCTAATAGGAATATGGATGGGATCCCCATGGCCTTCAAGTGGTTATTTCATAAGGAGATTATTGATGTGTGCTTGGTAGGCAGAATAAGGGCCTCCCAAAGATGCCTACATCCGAATCCCTGGAACCTGTGACTGTGGTACCCTACATGGCGAAAAGGACCTTTTGTGAGTAACAATCTTGAGATGGGGAGATGATCCTGTATTGTCCTAGTGGATCCAATATAATCACAAGGCTCTTTATAAGACGGAGGCAAGAGTTTTAGAGAAAGAGATGCGAGGATGGAAGCAGGCGTCGTCATAATGGGTTTTAAAGATGGAGGAGTGGGGCCACGAACCAAGGAACACAGGTGGCCTTCAGAAGCTTGAGGAGGGAAGAGATTCTCCTCTGGAGCAATGCTTCTCCGGAAGCAATGCAGCCCTGCCCACACCAGAATTAGCTCATTAAGACCCACTGCAGACTTCTGACCTCCAGAATTCTTTTTTTTTTTTAAGAAATGTCATTTTATTTTATTTATTTATTTATTTATTTTGAGACAGAGCCTCACTCTGTTGCCCAGGCTAGAGTGCTGTGGCGTCAGCCTAGCTCACAGCAACCTCAAACTCCTGGGCTCAAGCGATCCTCCTGCCTCAGCCTCCCGAGTAGCTGGGACTACAGGCATGCGCCACCATGCCTGGCTAATTTTTTCCATATATATTTTTTAGTTGTCCAGCTAACTTCTTTCTATATTTTTTTTAGTGGAAACGGGGTCTTGCTCTTGCTCAGGCTGGTCTTGAACTCCTGAGTTCAAACGATCCGCCCGCCTCCGCCACCCAGAGTGCTAGGATCACAGGCGTGAGCCACCGCGCCCAGCCTGACCTCCAGAATTCTAAGATAATAAATTGGTATTGTTTTAAGCCACTGCGTTCGTGATAATTTGTCACAGCAGTGTATTAGTTTGCTAGGGCAGCCAGAATATAATACCACAAACTGCATGGCTTAAACAACAAAAATTCATTTTCTCACAGTTCTGGAAGCCAGAAGTCCGAGATCAAGGTGTCTGCAGGTTGGATTTCCTCTGTGGTCTCTCTCCTTGGTGTGCAGATGGCCTTCTCGCTGTCTCGCCACATGGATTCTCCTCTTGTATGTGCATTTCCAGTGTCTTTGTTTGTCTTAACTGCCTCTTCTTCTAAGGACACTAGTCAGATTGGGTTTGGACCCACTCTAATGGCCTCATTTTAACTTAATTACCTCTGTCGAGCCTCTGTCTCCAAATACACTCACATTCTCAGAGACTGGGGGTTAGGTCTTCAACATATAAATTTTGGGGTGGGGTACACAAAGCAGCCCCTCACAAGCAGCAATATAAAAGTAATACCTGTGGTCATGCAGGAACCAGGAGGAGAATCTTGGGCCAAGATAAGTCTGATTCTTCAGTTAGTTTGGCAAATTTGAGTTTGATGAGTCTGAATTGGCCTGTTCTGTTTTCCCTAATGATCACGGGAGACAAGAACAAAGTGATTTCTGTGAAATAGAGTGCCCACTGGCTGTCCCAAATTCCCCTACCTGTGACATGAGAGCCTCTATCACTGGAGGGGGACAGAGAATGCCCCAAGTGGGGAAGATTCTAGTAAAACATTGGCCATAACCTGTTTCCGTGGGAAAATTTCTAATCATCTAGAAAATAGGCATAGTATTGTCAGGACGTAATCCTACCCATGGGATTTTGGAAGCTGAATGAAGTCATTTTTGCCAGTGTAGAAATACGCCTTCAAGGGCCTGTTCCTACCCCAACCACCCCACTGGTACAGGATCGTGGTTTCGGTAGCTGGGACACCCAAGAACACTTGTTCAAGATGAGGGTTGAAGTTTCCCCGCTATGGTTTGTGAAGGAGGTCCTTCATTTTTCCTTTCCACGACGCATGCCTTCGTTAAGGCCACAGAGTGAATTTCAGGCGGTGGGCTGCAGGGAGACTCGGCAGCTGTCTGGGTGTCTCCAAAGCCCATCTGAGTGGATAAAACATCCAACTTCCAAATGGCCTTTTTGGTGTCAGGATCCTTAAATTGTGAGGTCTGGAGTTCTC